AGGATTCCAAATCGGCAAATGACGTTCCTCCATATGAAGTGTTATATGTCCGTTTGAGTTGTGGTCATCTTGGGCTCTGCTTCTACCCATTTTTTGAAGTAGTCAGTTGCCACAATCATCATGCCTCTGCCCCTAGTAGTAGGCGGCATAAGTCCTACCAAGTCGATTGCCCAATGCATGAACGACCAAGAACTCGTATACGGGTGTAGCTCACTGGCAGGTAGTGCTGGTATCGGCTTGTAACATTGACAACGGTCGTACTTTTGTACTAACTCCTTAGCATCTTGGTGCATGGTAGGCCAATAGTAGCCTGCGTCAAAAGCCTTATTTGCAAAGGATCGACTTTCGGAGTGATTTCCACAAACGCCTTGGTGGATTGAGCTTAGAACCTTCAAGTCATCGGGAAACACTAGATAGCGGAGATGTGGTCCGGTGTATGATCTTCTGAAGAGAATGTCGTTCCACATGTAGTAGCGTGCTGTCTTGATTTGGAGCTTCCTAGACTTCAATCTTCCATGGAGAATGTGGCATTGACCAGATAGTCTACAATGGAATCTTGCCAGTTTGGATTTGTACTAACCTGTGACACCTCAACTACTGGCTTCGCCTCTATGCTTGGTTTGTCTAGATATTCCTCTGGGATAGAGCGTTTAAGTTGGTGGTCGAGGGCAGAGCCTAGGCCGGCTAGTGCTTTCACGTAAGCGTTGTCTATCATCAAGTCTTTTTCCATTCGAAGGCCTGCTAGTAGGGTCTCGTACTCTGTTTCGTTGTTGGGTACTTTGAAGCCTAGAGTGATTGCCTATTCGGGTATTGAATCGTCTGAGGTGATAAGGACTGCGCCTGCTCTCGAACCTTTGTAGTTGGATGAGCCGTCAACATGCAAATGCTAGAAGTCTCCATCGGGTAAAACAAGTGTAGCTAGGGCGTGCTCGGCTACCTTCAGGGCGACGTTGGGCCACTCTATTAAGTTGTGAACGTATGGTAGGGAGTCATGGAGTTGGGGCCATGTTACATGTAGCAAGAGATGCTTAACTGCTGGTATTGGACCATTCTAGAGCCAAATTATGGAGCAAGGGTTGGCTAGGGCCGTGTGACGTGCAGTATGAGTAGTGCTTAACTGCTGGTACATGTTGCTTCTATGTAGAATCTTTTGGGGCGACGAGGACAAAACTTGCTTCCGAGTGTGTCTTTCCAATGTTCGTATGCCTTTGGCCTGTCTTTCGAGCCACGTTGTTGCGTTTATCACTAAACTTTGCATCAACCAAGGCCTACGCTTTTATCATCGCGCGTCTAGATTAGGCGGAATAATACGTCATAAGGATGACTGCGTACGTTTGAAGGTAAAACTTGAGCTTTCGGGTTGCAAAAACTATCGCCAAAGTTAGCTTTTGAATTTCTGATAGCATTGAGAAGAGCTTTGAATTGTGAAATACAGGTAGTCGGGCCCCCAGCTCTTCTCGTATGATGGTAGAGCTTATTGTTGCTTCAGATACCGTCAAACATGTGAATAAGTCCTCATTTGCTTCTGGTTTGGATAGTAGGGATGTGATTTCGGGTATTTCTTCAAGTCCTTGAATGTGCATTGGCGAGCCTCGTCCCAAAGTGCATGCTTCTCTGCCAAAGCGAAAGAGTGCTAAAGTTAGATCTTCTTTCATGATCAATTTTTCGAATAGTGGGTGGTCTGTTGGAAGTCCATTTTGGAAGACTGCTCTAGCTATCAAGTCGTTGCATCTGACTATCTTTGCCTTCTTTGCTTTGAACCTCTTTATATAGTCATGAAGCGATTCTTTTGGGTTCTTCTTGACGTTGAACAAATGGTCGGACTTTTTTTTGATCGAGTGATAGGATGAATATTCTTTGGTGAAAACAAAAGAAAGTTTGTCGAAACTCCGGATAGATTGTGGCAACAGGGTGTAGAACTAATCTTGCACCTCACCTGTAGAGTGGTGGCAAATTTCTTGCACATGAGATTGTCGTTGTTTCGATAGAGGATCATTGCACTTTGGTAGTGCTTTAAGTGTCTATTCGGGTCTTTATCCCCTTTGAAAATGTGAAATGTGGCATACTGAACTCGCGTGGTGGCTCTGCCTGCTCGATCTCGTCCGTGAAGGGTGACTTACTTATGTTGGTCATGTTCCGTCGTAGTGCTTCGTCGGTGAACTCGTTGCGTTGGAAATCACACAATCGCTTGGTCAAAAGTTTCTCTACTTCTTCCTGAATTTGCCTTTGTTAAGGTAGCAGAGCTCTCGACTGCCCCCAGTCATGACTTGCTGGTCTAGACTGCTCTTCCATGTGTTTGACTCGTTTATGCCACGGATGCGGTGCATTCTAGTAGGCGAGTGAGTTCTTCGCAGGCTGCAGGTTGAACTTAAGCCGGATTAAGTGACTGGTTTTTTCTGTCCATCATGTTGCCTACTCCGATGTGAGGTGGAGGATGCTCCTTACGGGCTTAGCCGTGAATGAACACTTCGCCTGGAAGGTTGCTCATGTTGACTATCGAAGTGTGACCTCAACCGTCAATGTATGCTCGTCCGTGGGCTTAGTCGAGAGTGCACGCTCCTCCGCGTGCTAAGACGGGAGTATATGCTATCTCGGGAGCCCAATTAGGAGTGTACACTGCCCGAACGCTCGGTTCGTGGCTACTTACCAGGACGCTACTGGAAAGGTTCTTTGTCTACCCTTGTCCTACTTCGGGACATCTTCGTACGCTGCAAGAGCTGGTTCACCAAGGTCGTTTACTGTGCGAGGGCGTTCGTCAACTCTATGACTTGTCGAGACAAATGTTATTCTCCATTTAGGTTGGAATAGCTTGGAATGAATGCATCTCCTTGAGCAGTGGAAGTGTGGTAGACTCCAGGAGCGAGATTTGAGTTGGGAAATGTCAAATTCGCAGAAAAATGTGGTGAAAATGCTCCTGGTTCGATCGTCGGTCCAGAAATTTGGAGCCGAGACAGTTGAACTAATCTTGGAACGATTTGGGTTGCTTGGAATGCCATTGGAGTAGACTGGGCCACGGGAGCAGGTTGGGTTGCGAAAGTAGGCTGGGTTGCGGAAGCAGGGTTGGCTACGGGAGCAGGCTGGGCTACGAGAGCAGGTTGCTTAGCGGGAGCAGGCTGTGCCACGAGAGTGGGCTGCTTGGCGTATGGTGCACGTGGGTGCGAGGCTAGGGATCGGCTTGGCAACGTGTTGGGCTTGGAGTGACATGGCTTGGGCTGTGGTTTTGGTGTTATGGGCCTTGGATGGCACGGCTTAGGCTTGCTTAGATGGCACGGTTTAGCCTGTGGTGGTGGTGCCATGGACCTTGTTGCAGGTGATGGCCGTGGTGGCCACTACGGGGGTTCCCATGGTGGAGCCCTGTAGCGGTCGTGCCGCTCCACCTATGATCACATTTAGCCTCGCGGATCGTTGCAGTTCCATTTCTTGAATATTGGAATTTTCACTTGTGGAATTTTCTAAATTTCTAGACATTGTATTTCTCTTTTACGTTTTATCAAAGAATCTTTGCAAATAAAACATTCTAATAATAAGAACGTACGAAAAATATACAAATGGACAAGAAAAAATAGAGAAAAACCTTTTATGAGAGAGTCTTCTAAGAGTGTGTGTACTTCAACTCTCAATGGAAGCACCAATTTGTGGATGCAAATTTCTTCCTCCTTATTCTTAGATAAAATTGCACCTACAAAACAATATAACGCCTTTGGTCAAGGCCAAGAGCCTCACACACCCACGTTGAATGAGGGGGGCTTTGGCCGAAGAATCTCCGATGCCGAAGTTAGAATTTTGAGGGAAAGGTGTTTGAAGAATTTAGAGAATTTTAGCAAGAGAATTGGAAGTGAACTTTGAGGAAAAGAATGGGGTTTAAATAGGAGAATGGCCGACCTCCTAGGGTGAGAGAGGACCGGCCACCTAGCCTTGTTTGTGGGCTAGGTTCTTGATTTGTGTTAATTTGAGAGTTATGGAATAATTACCTAATCAATTAGCTAATTCATAGAATAATTACCTAATTGATTAGCTAATCAATATAATAAAAAGGAAAGATTTTGGGAGTTACCTTGTGGAGAATATTGGATAAGGATGGATGAAATAGATTTTGAATTGTTACCTATTTTGGGCACTTTCGACTTGGTTGAGGGATGATTGCCTGCTGCTCGCGCGTAGGAATCCCGGTATGCCTTAAGGGTATTTTTGTCCTCTTATATCCAAAAATCCACGTGTTGCCTTGTGATTATTTTTGGCTCCACAAATGCCCCCACACCTATTGGGTTGCTCGCAAGAAAGGGCAGCAGGTGTAGAGATCTTCCTGTTTTAGGAAACTTAGGACTGCTTACTATTTTGATGTAGATTCCCTCTTTAATAGGAAATTAAATCCTTCTAGGAAAGGGCAATAAATTTCTCTCAAAGCCTATTTAAGTCCACCTTAAGTGGGTTATTAAATCAACTTTGGAGAGCGATTTATTCTACCCTACAAGAAAGAGATTGCTTAGAGGATATTTGTTCGCCTTCCTCTAGCAATCTTCTACATCTTACCCGTGCAAAGGACCGCCTTTCGTTTCTTTCTTTGTCTTATCCATGCCGCACCGATGTAAGAAAAATTTAATTTTCCTTGTCTTCTTCTTGGATAGTGCTATCACGGGGCAGTCGTCGAGGTGGTGCGGCACGTCAGCTGGTTGAGGCCAGGAGTCGGCTCGGCATGGGCCTAGGATGTGTTGTGGCAGGGACCACTGCTTTAGGCTGTTCAGCTTGGCTAGAGCTAAGGGTAACTTGTATGGCTGAGGCATATGGCAGGAACGTAATTCCTATTATTGGAGAGGAGTTTCAAAGCAGCCTTTGGAGATTCATGGAAGTATTCAAGCTTGGTTGCATGAATACAAAAAATGGCATGGCAAGGTAAAGGCTTCACGACAGATTTCTGTGTAAAAATGGAAGAAACCTGATGTTGGGTGGTTAAAATGCAACTTCGACGGAGCATGGGAAGAGAATAGCGATATGGGGGGAATATGCATGGTGGTCAGAGATGCAAGTGGGAAGTTAGTAGCAGCAATGATACAAAGACTTGTTGGAATTTCTTCATCACTGTCAGCAGAGATGATGCAGCTTGGGTTGCCATGCTGTTTGCGCGCGATCTCGAGGCTGCTTGTGTGGAATTTGCAGGGGATACACAGATGGTGATCGCTGCACTGCAACAAAATTCTGAGGATGATATTTCTCGGCTGGGGCATGTTATTGATGATGCTAGACATTTTCTGCACTCAATCCCTCACGACTGTCTTTCACTGAACAGGAGGCTAACAGGGTTGCACACCGTTTGGTTCAGTTGGATCTTTTTATGGATGGACAAATGCTTTGGTTTGAGGAACCTGATATTATCACTGATCTTATATTTGAGGAAAGTTTAGACTTGTAATTTCTACGGTGCGGAATGCTTTATTTCTTTTAGGCCGGGTTGAAAACCCTGGCAAGGTTTTTATCGAGGCCTATGTATGCAACTGTTCTTCTTTTGTACGTATTCCCTTCTCTTATCAATGAATATCATACTTCTCTAAAAAAAAAAATTGTCATTTTGGCAGTAAACATTCGACCCTAATGTTCACTTTTTCTTCATTTTCTCATATCAAGTGTTTTTAAAATTGTCATTTTTGTTGCAGTCCTACTAGATTAGGAATGTGATTGTGTAAATCCTAGTATATCTAGGGATATCTCTTATATTCCTATTAGAAGTTGATTACCTACTAAATGTTGTAATCCTAAAGGGTAAGGAATTAACCTTCCCTACTACTATAAATAAAGGCACAATAGGGTGGAATAACACACACCCACAATTACACATCTCTCTTTTCTTTGTTTATATGCCACACCTTCTCTCTCCATATGCCGCACCCTCTCTCTCCATATGGCCTCCATAATTGTTCAGTAAAGTATGCCTACAACACGTTATCAACACACTTTTGATGATGTGCTAAAGAGAGTTTATTCTTCAATCAGGGGAGTATTACGTTTTAATCATTCCTTTTATGATTAATTTATGATATTTATTGAATTGATCTACATGCTACTGATTTAATTAATTTTTTTTTTTTTGTGTTGAACGTGATAAAATTGGAGATGCAATTCCACCTTTCCGATAAGGATCTTCAACAAATTCAAAGGCTTTTGTTGTTTTCTGCCAATTAGTATGCTTAAAATAGAGTAAGATATTTGAAATGACATGAAGCATGAAAACATTTCCCATGATGCATGAATCCTCTATGTTTATATTTTCCTTCTGATATATATATATATATATATATATATATTTGTTTCATGCATCGCACAATTAAATTGTTATCTGGAATATGTGAGTCAAAGTATCAAATTAAATTAGAAGCAACTCTAGGGTTTCTTAAACCCTACCTATGTCGAAAAATTTTGGGAATTTGGATTTGGTATGGCACCACCCTTTGCGGCACAAACTGGGTAGCAGCCTTTTGGGCTTTGCAGCATTCACATGGACCTTGAGAGCAACTTTGTTGCGAGTAGATGGTCACCCTAAGCTTTCAACCTAGTTGGGATGACTCGGGCCTGTAGCCCACATTCATCAAGGAAGCCTGCAACTTTCCTTTTTGGACCTTCATATGTTCTCGGCCCATGCCAGCAAGCTATCATGCTTACTGGGCCCTTGTCCCGCGAGGCACTGGATTGCCAGCAGCAAGCCCGCACTGCTTGCTGGGTCATCCTTACGCTCTAATTTGATGCCAGTTATTCGACTGGGCTTCCCACGCATTATCAAGCCAGCAAACTTGCTAAGCCTTGCTCCCGTGCCTAGCCCCTCAGTCCAAAATGCCAGCCTTAATGGCTGGGCCTATACCCCCTGATCCGTGGCTTGCAGCCCACATCCGAGGCCCCTTTTGGGCCCTGCCTTTCACTTAAGGCACCTAACCAGAGCCCAAATATTTTTTAGGGCTATATTTTCGACCCGATAATATTATTCTAATAATATTTAGCTTCTACAATAGACCCTGTATGACTCGATTTATTGAATTAATTAAAAATGACCTGCAGTCCATTAGTCTGATAATTAATCCAAAATTATTAGCCTGAAGCCCACTTTTGGATATTAACGATTCAATAATTTATTTTTATACTTTTAACCGTCACATACTTTCGTAGGAAAGAAGCTCTCCTACTTGAGTTCTCGAAGAACCTCAAATCCACTACACTTAGTTGTATATTGCATTATGTGTTTCTTGCAGGAACCTCTCTTTTATGAACTAAACGTTCATAAACTAAATTGAACTTGTAGTTTCAAATTTAGTGCATTTGAAACCCGAAGTTTTCATAAAACAGTACACCCATGAAAACCTGACGTTTTTCATGAAAACCATGTCTTAGAACTTAAATGTTCTAACTTTGATGCTTATGGATGATTCCTTCCCATAGCACCAATCACAATCTTATTCCCTCCATTCAGTGGATTGTCGTATTGTAACAAGTTCGATTTTCCTGATTTGGACGTTTCTAATAGAAACCACTTTATGTGGGATACAAGACGTGAATCTCCACTTGACTATCAAGAAGCTGAGAAACCATTGACGCCAACTATGGCAAGGAAGAGCTAAACAAGCCTCCGCCATGATCTTCATTCGAAGACTTGTGCCCAAAGCATTACAAATGGAAATACCTTCTGATCGAGGATTCCATGGCTCTTTGGCTCGCTCCTACGGACTGTCTAATCATGAAAGACATTGCCTGAAGCAAACGATGATTACGGCCATGAATGAGTATAATTTTGAAGTTTATAAATCCGATCAAATTTTGACTAGAGAATACTTTTCTCGTCCTTCCATATTTCTAACTCGCTTCTGAAGCAATAGTGTAGAAAGCAGAAGTTTACCAAATTCTTGGATCTGATTACTACCACAAACATATAATCAGGGCCTGCCAAGGTATGGCATCATGCTCGAAGCGTGATCCTTGGTACCTAAGACCTAAAACTTCAAGAATAAGGGATAGTATTCCTAAACCTTAACCCTGCATAATCTACTTCTGTCTTGATGGAATAAATCATTGGTTATGCATCTGTTCATGCCCCTACCAATGTTGTTAAGGAGTACCATTCTAGTAGTCAATATGTGAGACTAATTTTTCTCCACCAAACACCATTGGAAAAGCAGAATTTTGACATGGATGGCCTTGTTGGCCGAATCCCCTTAGTAAAACCACTTACTTTGTGAACATTTTTCTATATTCTTGGATTCAAGTTTGGTGTATGGTTTACTTATGGATAATCTTATTGATGTTGTCCTCGAATATGAGTTAATTGATTCATGTTTCTTAATACATGTGACCGATTCAATTAAACACGTGATTAGGTAGGAATGTGGGGAAGTTAGTTGTCTGGATGAATGCGTACTACGCACACTAACTTTTACACCTAAATCACATCTCTAACAACGACTTCAGGTCTATCCAACCTAATTAAGAGCACTGACACGCTCCTTGTTGTATGAATGGTACTGAATCACCATTTAAGGGACCTTAAATTCTCCCTGTTGTTGAGTTTTTAAGGATATTCGAGATGACAATGATCATAAATGAAACCACTGAAGAAAATAGAGTGAAATATCTTTGCACCATCTCCAAAAATGGGCCTGAAGCTTTGATTTGGGGCCAATGGATCGTCTCCCAACTAGGAATACACCACATGTGGCCGACTTGGAGCCTGGTGATTGAGCAGTTTATTTGCTTTGGCACGACCTTTTTGGGACACTTAGGTCGAACAATGATGCTACAACGCATCTCCTTATCTGAAGTAAGGATATTGTGCCTACATGCACACTTTGCCAAGCATGCTCATTAAGGAAATTGATTTTTATATTATCCCTTGCAAAGATACGAAATAACCATCTTTTCACAGTGGATTCAAGGGAATATATGTGGACTAATCCAACCAAAATGCGGACCATATAAATACTTATGATTTTGGTTGATGAATCAACAAACTGGTCACATGTTTTTCCACACACATTGCTGCTAAACCTCATGGCCGATTAAGGGTTCACCACCCTACTTATCCCTTAAGGTTCGGGAGACTAGATAATGCCGGAGAGTTTATATCGACGGTTTTTGATAAAGTATTGCATGTATTTTGGGTTTATAATTGAACATTGAATTCCCATGTTCACCCCAAAGAGCCTCGCTTAGTGATCATAAAGCGCAATTTATATGATCGCTTGAATTTTGGTAAACGTACCAAGTTTTCGGTTTCTACCTAGGGCTATGCAATCCTTGTACACAGTTATGTTGGTCCGCCTTTAGGCCCACTGCCACCCAACCTATATGATGTTACAGTTGGTTACTGAGTACGAACCTGACGATTTTCGTATTTACACATTTGAGTGAGCATTCCATGTGCCAAGTTGCACCGTCGCAATGTACCACCATGGGTCCTCAAAGAAGGATGTGTATCTTTTGTCGTTTATGATTCTCCTTCACACTAGCTCTCTTTGAGACCTTGCACGCGATCTCTTTACCTCTTATTTGCGGGTTGTCACTTTAATGAGACAGTCTTCCTGCCGTTAGGGGGAGATAAGAACGTCAATGTTCCTGGAGAACGGTGCAAATTTGCGTGGACGTTGCCCACTATGTCTCATCTCAATCCTCATACTGCACAAGTGTGATAAACAAATGTGATGAATTCTAGATTTCAGAATGTTGCCCCAAACACATTCCTCTAATCTAGCTAAAGTGACGAGATATATACCAGCTGCAAACATGCATGCAAGGATAAACGTACTTAACAAACGTTGAGTCAACATCCCTGTAGGGTGTGCTGCCCTTGTTGGACGGTTTAGACGCCCCTATTGGACAGTGCGGTACACCGTTAGATAGCCAGTCAATCTGTCTTGGCCTGGAGCATGACAGATCACTTGGTTCGTAGGATTCACTTCCCTGGAAGAGGAAGACATGTCATAACAATGAATCTAAACTTGATCATTGTCTCAAATCATTTCCATCTCATGAGATTAATCCGAATTTCTCCCGAGACTTAAAGTTCTTGGTCCAGTATACTAGTTTGGATGAGCTAAATGGAATTGAAATAAGATTATCATCGATGATGTTTTCACTTATATGGTAGCTACCGATATTAATGAAAAGTGACGATATAGAACCATGTTCCGTTGATTAAGTGACAACGTAGAATTGATTGAACAACCGAAATTACAATCTAGGTCAAATTCCTTACCAAAATGTGTTTAGACCTGTCGTTCCTACACTGCCCAAGATAGCCCTGTTATGTTACAAGTGGGAAATGAAACGTTATGAAATGAATGAAATAAGTGCAATATGATGCACGCCTTACGACACAA